CCCCAAAACCCCAAAACCCCAAAACCCCATCTGATTAAATAATCACAATTTCGCATTATTTAAATAATTAAAATTTATTTCATTGTTTATATATTTCTAAGTTTATAAGAATCCTTTTATTATTCATCTTCTATATCTATTGCTTTGTTTAGGAATCATTTATCTGGAAGTTTCTTAACTCCAGGTTTGCTCTGAATCATTTTAGTTTAATGTTGTATTTTAACTCTGTCTATTTGAAGATCGATTTGTAGTGCTTCTATCTGGTACCTTATTTTTTAACGATTACTTATTATTCTTTGATTTCTGATTCATCATAGCATCCAGAGGATCCTCATCTATGAAATTTTGTATTTTTATCTCTTGATTTTTAATTCTTTACAATTCCCTTTTAGTTGGACTGGCATTAGTACTTGATGTCAGCAAAGTAGTTTAGGATAGAGACTTTTTCTATATAACCCTCTGAGAAAAATTATTTGAAACAGTTTTTATTGGACTAATATTATTATTTATAACTTGATTAAAGTTAAATTTCTTAGGACTTTTTGACTTGCTAAATGAGAGATTTGATTTATTTTGGAATCTGATGTTTGGAGAATTATTAGTCCTATCATTTTCATCATCATCACCCTTGCCAGTAAGTTATAGTTCTGCACTTTCGTTTATTATTGTCAACTATTTTTGCTTGAGTTGCTCTTGAGCCTGTTTCCTTATTTATTTAAGTTTAATTCTCCTAATTAATCTTGCTATTTATCGTCTGATGCTCATTATCTATTGTCAAATTACAAATAACAGATTAAATGCAATGTTTAAAATGAAAATTCCAAGAAAAACATAGCTAAATTAATCTTTACTTTCTGTGGATTCAACATAGTCAGTAAATATCAGCATAATCTCACTTAATATCAAAGTGACACACTCATTAAAAATCTCTAATCCTAACCCTTCTTCAAGTGGTCTGAAATAAATAAGATATATTAAATAACTCAAATTGCATAATATAAACACTTGACATTAAAATACTAAGTAACTCTCTGCAAATAGTATGAATATTATAAATATCAATCTTCGAACAATGAAAACTGAGTAATACAATGAAGAGTATGCTCCATTATCTGATAATGGATCTATAATTTCATCCAAGTACTCTTTAAGCTTTCTATTCTTGTAATCATAATTGAATTTTCTTAAAATAATTGGAAGAATTAAACAAATCAAAATGACTACTGTACCAAAAGTTATAGCAAAAATGTTTGAAACCAAATCTCCTATAAAATCTACTTAATAATGTAAAAATTAACAATACCTTGTTTCAAAAGCATTAAACATATATAAAGAGCAGTAAAGATCTCAAAGACTTATTCAATAAAAAATCTTAGAATTGTAGAAATAAATAAATAGCTTTTCAAATAATTCGATACTCTCATTATCCTAAAATGATTAATGAAATAATAAGATTTTTACAAATCAACTTTAATCTGAAAAAGAATCAAATAAATAATGCAAAGCATTAGATAAAATAGCAAGAAAAACATAGGCATTCCGATCAAATAAATGAAGTTAGAATTATCATATCCTAGAAATTCAAATCTTTCATTAAATGCAGGGTAAAATTCTGATGAGCTTAGTCTAAATATTTATTAAAGATGAGCAGAACTGTCAATAGGATCGAAAGTGACCACAGTGAAAATGGTTTTTAAGAAGGATAGAATCGGCATATTGTATGGGATAGCCATAAGAGGTGTATGTGACATCAATTATAATGTATTTACTAATCCCCACAGTAATTGTAGACTCGTTCCAAAAACCAAACTCATTCCAATACTACCATAAAGAACAGAAGTCAATATACTATCTGTTACTTATTAAAGTGAATTAACTAGCTTTTATTCAACATCATTTTTTGTTTGTGGTGGGATATTCCTAATTTTTGTGATTAGTTCTCTCTATTTAAAGTATGAGATTATTAGCTGATCTTAAGATTAGTATCTTGAGATTGATTATGCATCATCAAGTAATAATTGTAGAACAATGATTCCATCCTGAAATCCAGTAATATTGTACTCTACATAAGCTAATTCATTTAGGCTATTTAAAATCTGAACCGATGTTAGATAATTCTTTAGTTAGAATGAATCAATGGAATTATCTGCCTTTATCAAAATGCGAGCCTGTCCTTGTTCATTGATACTTTTTATTGTCATTTCAACATTTTAGCTTTTGATTGTTTCATTCATTGTATCGACTGAGTTATTAGGATGATTGGGAATTATTGGTGGACTTCTTTATTTTAGAATTTAATATGTACTTTTAACCACAATTATAACTTGGTAAAAATTAGTCATTGGAAATGTTAAATTATCATCAGTCAGTTTGAATAAAAGTGTGTAATTTCCATAATCCAAGTTTTAAGGTTCTATAATCAATCTTTTATCTTTAAGCAAAATGAATCCTGGTAAAATTTCTTTAATTTATTAAGTAATTACTAAGGATACTTAATCTAGATCAGGATCTACAATATCTGGTATTTTTATAATTTTCTTCTCTCTACATTTGATTTAAATTATCTCATCCAAATTCGAGGCAAAATAAGGTGCTCTATTTTCATAGGTTCTAAGAATATTATCTAAAGGGGAGACTGAACCTCCTGTTGAGCTTACATATAGTTCGAAGAATGAATACCCAATATATTAGCCACTAGCAGTTCCCTCAACAAGTAACTGATATGTAGCAGCATTCTACTAATCTGAAGTTTCAACTCTAAAATAACTACCATAACTGATTTAGATGAATTGAATAAAGCTTGGTAAAGGGCTATAGTCTGATTGCAATCCCTAATACACCCAAGTTGGAGTATCTATACATGGTTCAGTGTATGTGAACTAAGATACAAAAATAGTTAATGCAGGATCTCCTACATTATAGACTCTATTTCCAATCACAGGGGAATTGACATTTCCTGTGCCAAAAACATAATCAAGACATTCAGCTGGTAACTCAGCAAGTTTTAAAGAAGTTAATGCTTAGCTATCAACTGTAGAATCTTCTTGCAATTCAAAACTTAATGTTAAAGGTGTCAAAGCAATTAAAGTCTGCTATTAGAAATTACCAGTGATAAACGAATCTTAATATATAGATGTAAAGGTATTTGTATTAGAACTTGATGAAATGCAACTCTGACCAACAGGGAATCGACCCAGATATGCTGTACTTTATGAGTATTAATTGGAGTTAATTTTTAGAAGTGAGCCAATATCAATAAAGAACAAACCTGAAGTGTCAAGATAGGCATTTTAAGCGTTAAGTAATCCGTTTCCAAAAGCATAATAAATTTCTCTTAGATCAAAATTAGTCGCACTTGATACTGATCTTGTACCAAAATAATTTCTGCTTCTCTAACTCTCATATAGCAAGTAACTCATCGTTACTCCATCATAATTAACAGCCAAGCAATAAGTAGGGTAAGTCATAGTAAGATACCATGTATACAATAGTTAACTCGTGCCGTCAAATAGTTATTTAAAATACATCAGACCAATATCATTACCAGTTCCCAGATTTTAAGCACAAGCAACTTGATAAGGATCAAGACTAGAATCAATATAAATACCGATTTAGCTGATTAGCTCATTGGAAGATGTACCTGATTGTGGAACTGCTGTCCCTGTTAGAAAAGTTCCATCTGCAATGTTTATCTTTATCAGAGCTAAATCTCCTTAATAGTTACCTCCAATATAAAGATAGTCAAAATTAGGATGAAATTTAGCTGTTGCTATATTTAGTACTTGCAAAGAATTATCCCCGTACTCATAATAAAAGGTTGCAGTTATTGACCCAGTCGCTCCTGTAAATTAGAAAATTGACAAATGTGTAAGGCCAGTTTCTTTTGATAGCAAGTAAATTTTTTCAGCAGAATCCATTTTTACATCAATACCTGTCTCAAACAGTGATGAGGAAAAAGTAGCTGTATTATACAGTACATAACTAAACTTTAGTAGTCCGTTTGAATATTGCATGATGAACACATTGATACTTGATATTGTTGAAATTGCTACTACATATTATTATGCAGTATCTTGAATTGCACATCTAGATGCCATTAGAGGATTTTAAGCTCCACCTATATTTTGAATTTTGATATCCCAAATAACTCTTCCATTATTTTCATTTATTCTGAGTATTATTGGATTCTTTGGATAGGCTGATCCTACCAAATCACTTGAAGAAGACCATCCACCAATCAATATATTTTGATTGTTTGAATCATAATCTAGGCATTCAAACTAAGTATTGCTTTATGAACCTCCTAACAGTCCTGGATAACCATATTTTGGTATTTAGCTGTAACAGGTAGTTACATCATGAGTCATTAAATTTCTAAGTAATTTTATTGTTGTTAAAATTCTAATACTTACACATAACTAAATTAAAGAAGCAAGAAGAGTAATAAAATGAGATTCACCGACATTTATTTCTAACTTGACTGTGAAATATTAATATTTTAAATTGATCTTTAATTTTATAACGTATAATAATCATGATTATTGATATCCTCAAAGTCTATTAAATGTAGTAAAAAAGTCTCTACGGGGTTTTGGGGTTTTGGGGTTTTGGGG